CAGTTATCTTGAGACACAATGGACTAAAAGATTGAAGCCTAGATGGCTTGGTCTTTACAGAATTACAGGAGAAGCAGAGAACAAAGTTTATGAGATATCAGAAATGGATGGATCCAGAGTTTTCGACATGGTATCAGGGTCAAAGCTTCATAAGTTCATCTTCAGAGACCCTGACTTGATCCCTACAGTGACTCCGAAGAGAGGAAAGAGAAGTCAAACATCCAAGTAAGAGAACGGTCATGAAGGACTGAGAAAGAGTACAGTAAGACACTGAGACAGTGAGGCTCAGTTATCAGCAGACAATGATCATTCTTGCATAGTCAATTCAGCATTTCAATTTCGGCATTTCAGTAGCAGTATTTCGGTTCCAGCATCCCAGTTTCAATATTCCAGTTTTAAGCAAGTCATTTCATTATTTATTTCAGCAAGCAACTAAGTTAATGACACTATATCCTTGATGCAGCGCTGCAGTCGTTCCATGAGTGTCAAACCCTGAGAGTGGGGAGTAACTGTGAGTACAGTTCTGAGAGCCTTGATACAGTGTCAAGATCTGAGAGACTCATGGTTGTGGCACGTCAAGTGATATAAGAGGTATTATCTTTATTGCAAAAAGAAAGTCTGACGGACATAAAGAAGGTCAGTTTTTTCTGATTGAAAGTTATCAGCAGAAAGACTTTGTGTCTCTGACTAAGTCGTTCTTTCAAGAGATTCAGACGAAGGCAAGCATAAAGAAGTTCAGCTTTACTTGACTAAGAGTGGTCAGTAGAGGGACTCCGTGCTTCTTGGCTAAGGGTCTGTCTTCACTCAGATGAGGGAAGGGACCTCTCTGAGATCAGTGTTTCAGTTTTTCCTTGAGACTGACGGGACGTCTCTTGGAAAAAGGAATCCCAGTTGACGGAAGGGACCTCTCTGGGGCTTGCACTAATTTCTTTACGTGAGGTCGAAGGGAGGTCTCTTGCGAACTTTTAGTGTTGGCTAGCATGTTATTGTTCAGTGCCTCTTGAGACTGAAGGGACGTCTCTTGAGAAGTGTTTGTCCTGCTATGGGGCGTGGGGAGTCTGCTTGTGGGTTATGATATGCTTGCCTGGTTGTCTGTGTCAGGGGTCATTTTCTCTAACCTAAGGATGCGTTGATTGCCGGGGCCAGCCAGAGCCTTACCGCAGTAGGTTGCAATCTGGTGGGGTCAGCAGGTCCCCAACGTGAGTGTCGAATTCCGTAGTCAGCTGAGGCTAAGACTCCGGGGGTCTGGCCTATGAGGTTGAAAGGGGTCGGTTGAAACCCTACCGCAGTCAGAGGATGCAATCCAGTGAGGTTAGCCAGAGCCTGGAACTGTGGTTAGACCGGGCCCCACGTTTAAAAATCTGGGCGGGGTAGCCAGCACCCTTGGCCAAAAACTGGTAGGTGAGCCGGTCCCTGACCGCAGTGGTCAAATCCGGATTCGGGACAGCCAGACCGACGAGACGTCTACTGTCATAGGGTGACCAGACCCGCTATAGTCTGGGTGTCCTGGCGAGAGTGCCAAAGGGCTGCCATACTCGAGCAGTGGGTATGATTGGTCCTGACCTGGAGGCAGATCAAAGGGGCCGTCAAGGCAAATGGTCTGACTAGTCCTGGCCTGAGGCGGACCGAATGAGGTATGTCAGACTGAATGGACGTCTGACATTCCTGGTCAGTGGTGGGCCGAAACCAAGGCAATCAATAAATCCTTGGTACGAAGAGTTGTTATGTATTGATTATTATTTATTATTTATTGTTTTATTTATGGGTTTTATTTTAATTTGTTGATGCTTAACTGTTGGCTGTCAGAGGGTCTGCGTGCTGGGGGATGGTTGTTGTCTGTGGGACTTGTTGGTTTTGCAGGTATATAGATACTTATCTGAAGTTCCCAGGCCAGAGAAAGAAAACAAGGGTTTGGTATCCCCTCCCTTTTGTCTGAGAAGTTGAGGAGACGCCTCACTCAGGCCAGAGAAAGAAAACAAGGGTTTGGTATCTCCATCAAGTGAGGAGCTGAGAAGATGTCTCTCAGACTAGAGAACAGAAAAAAGGGTTTGGTATACCCTACTCCCAGCATAGCAGATAGAGTGAGTACCCTCGTTACTGGGGTCATCCTTGGCATAAATGCCTGATCAAGAGCTGAGGTAATCTCCATGTGAAAAACCAACGGATGAACAAGTCAAACATTCAGATGAAATCCTTCTTAAAATTTTATTTGGTGGCCGACAAGCGGCCTGGTTCACGAGGAGCCTGCATCCCTGGCCTTAAAGAAGCCAAACTCTCAGGCCTGGGACTCTATGGAATGAACAGTGAACTGGAAATTTCATGAGCCGAAATCTGACTCAGAAAGCAGAAAAGAAGTCGCGCTTATATAGGACATAAAAGACAGCCATGAGTTCAAGCTGGAAAAGAAAGAGAAGGAAGAAGATGCTAAAGAGAATGCAGTGATTAGGGTGATGAGGAGACGAGACAACACACGGGATAGAGGAAGGTGGAGCAGGCACTATGGCCTTGCTTACAGCTGGAGTAGAAGGAGCTCTGGGGATATAAGGAGGACAAAAGGCGCTGGGCGTACCATAGCGCGCATCGAATTTCTTGCGAAGGACCTCCATCCTCTCTGGTGATGGAGTTCTCTCGTACCACCCTCCTAACGGGTAGCGAGGGTGTGGCCTTAAAAGACCATATCTTCGCGGCTCCTCATCTTCCTCCTCCTCTAAGCTATAATCTCACCGTGCCCTAGCTGGCGGTTCTTCTTTTGCTTTTCCTCCTCTCCCTCCCCTTCCTCTACCCTGTCCGCGGCGTGCCTCAGGCATGATGCACGTGAGGTGTCTAAGGGCTATGACTAAGAAAGTTGTGTGAGCGAGGTTTGTGATAATGAGATGAATCCTGAAAGCGGGAATGCAAGACTACCAAAAGAGGTAAAGAAAAACGATTGCGCTGACTACGGGAGATTACGGCATGCTACGTGAAAAAGAAGATGAGCACTAAAAAGAAAAGCAAGTACAGAGAGAAGAAGCCTAGCACAGAGAGAAAGAAACCTAGTGCAGGGAGATGGCTAGTGCAGAGAGTGAGGACGAACACTTAGTGAAGAGGCGAACGCCGAGAAGAGAGGCGAGCGCAAAGAAGGAAGGTGTGCTATGGTGGAGTGAAATCGGAAAAGAGTGACGAACAGCAAAAGGAAAAAGGAGAAGAAAGCGTTGCAGATCGAAAGAGATTAAGAAGAAGAGTGTGAGTTGAGAGGACGTGCAGAAGAACCAAGATAGCGCAAAACTATTATGTGAGCGTCACCGTAAATGGCAATGAGTGTGAGTGAGTCTACCGCTAGTCTAGACTGTTTTTATATTGGCTGATCATGCGTTTTAACCCAGCGGGGACGCTGGGTAGGGGTTTGGTATTATGTCGGAGGGCGCGGTGTCCCGGCCCTCCTCTGTGTACCAAGTTCCTGCCTGGTACCGTTCTCTTGCTCTGGTATTGCAGCCAGTAGCCATCTCCGCGATCCTTAGAGCCCGGGCTGAACCCTGGTGTGGACTGGTTCTGTCGGAGCATGCCCTTAGCAAAAGGGTGCGCCACAGGGCTTTCCATTGGTCCATGCAGGCTCGGCGCCCTGCTGTAGAGCAGAGCACAACCGGCCTGTGGCCGTGGTAGCCGCCGGGTTCGCCCTGGGACGCGAAGGTGAGAAGACTGGCGCAGTCTTTTCTATTGCGCGCCGAGTGCCCTTCTACTGGGTTGTGGGCCAGGTATACAAACCAGTGGTCACTGTCATAAAAGAGACAAGGCTAAGGAATGGGAAAAGGAAAATTAGATGAGCAGTTGAGAGCCTAGTCTATGTGAACTGAAGGTTGCTAATCGAGAACACTCGACGCTCCATAGTCGTTCGTCACTAAAAGTTGTTATCTATTATATTATTATTACTATTATTATTATTATATCTCCATCAGCTGATATCTGACGCGGTGCCTCTCTTTTTAACCTGTCACCTCGTGGGGAGGCCAACAGTTCAGGCTTTGAGTTTGGGTGGCGGTTTATGGCCTAGTCAGGCCCGACCCCTTGCATGTCATCTGTATTGGGCCTGCTCGTCTGAACTCTACGCTAGTAGGGCCCTGGTAGCTGTATTGGGGGCCAGATAAAGTAGGGTCTAGTGAAGGAAAAAAGGTGTGAGAAGAAAAGTTGGGCTTTAAGTTTTGTGCGTGGACTTATGCCGTTGCTCAGGTGGAACTGTGGCGCGGAGACAAATTTGAAGCGCCGTTGTCCTTTCGTTCTACATTCATCATCATTACTAATTTTATTATTATCACTTAAGTTTTCTATTTTCGATTTTTCTTTACCTGTTGGCCTGTCCTTTCGTGGGAAGGCCAACGGTTTGAATTTCGAGCCAGCGACCCGCGGCCTAAGTAGGCCGATCTTGCGCGTACTGTCTCTGGGTGAGCTTCGAACTGGTGCCGTGTGGTGAGACCCCAAAAGGAGGGCGACCCGCGGCCGCATTAGTAGGAGACTTATCACCCCGAATGGAGGGTCATAGGTCCCCTCCTTGACATCGGATGCGGGCACCCATTAGGGAAATAGGCGGTAGTTAGTTTTAAGGAAAAGAAAGTGCCGATCGGTATCCCGTTATGGGACCACTGCCTGGAGGTCGCAATTATTATCACGGCAGGATTAAACGACAGGGACAAGATGAGAAAGGTCTGAGTGTGTAGTGACTAGCGATGTTTAGTTTACCGCTCCACTATTTTTCTTTGTTTTAACTTTAGTTTAATTTATTTTATTATCCCCAAGATTCACGGGATATTGATAAGCCAAAACTAAGGCTATCTTGGACTCTTCGCTCAAAGCATGGGGATCGTAGTGTAGTAAAAGTCTATAAACGAAGGGAAAAACTAGGCTACTGGGCGGTTTTTAGTCTGAGGGTACTTGCGAACTAGCTCGCTGCATTGGCGCTGCTAGTCAGGGTCCGAAGGCTGGAGTAGTGGAGACAGGTGTTAAGTCATCCGAAGTGCGTACTTCTGGGGTCGGACCTCTGGCTATTCAAGATGCGGCTATGGCGTTGCATGGGTATAGACCCTGCTACTGGTACCACCAGATTCGGTGGAAGCCTATGTCCGGGGAGGGACCCTGGATTACGGCTATACTCAACTATGATGGGGGTGACGAGCTGAGACTGAGGACCAACGTAGGCGGAGGAAAAGAGGAGGAGATGCGCACTGATGGAAGGCTACATGACGCTATCATAGAGACGAAAGACCGTGTGGAGAGGCGCTGCAGAAAAGACGGTGTGACGGTGAAAATGCAGGTAACGGTCTCGCATCATGAGACCAAGACCTCAATGGACGAGGCGGACTGGGAGCAGGCCCACCTGGAACGAGACTTAGGTGGGGAGAGCGACATGAGCGAGGCGGAGGACCGGGAGACGGACCTCAGGTCCTGGATCAGACCAGGCGAGATCCAGAGGCATCACTGCGCTGCGAAGCCGGTGGAAGAGGGACCTGAGGCCAACTCACGACAGCTAACGCCCAGAGGCCGTGGGACTGGGGAAAAACAGAGCAAAGGGAAGAAACATGTGTGAGGCGAGAGGGGATCGACACGCGTGGCGAGAGGGCCGGCAGCGGAGGGGCTGAGCCAAGGACGTGGCGCAAGCGATTTTTTTTTACATCTGTCGTGCGAAAAGGGGGATATACAAGGTCAACGCGTGTGAGAAGAAGAGGGGCGGTTACGAGAGAACGCATGCGCTACGCGTGGCATTCCAAGAAGGGCAGAGGCGTGAAATTGGGAGATCTGCTCAATGCCTCGACACATCATCTGAGGGATGAGCCAGTGCATGGGGGTAGGGGAGCATCACCCAGGGAGCTGTTTTCTTGAATCTGTTCCCGCGCGCCAGACTTCTTGGGCCTGTCCTTGATCGCCGTGAGGCATGGCCTAGAGACCAGCAAACTGAGGGAATTGGTGCGCGCCAGTATGAGGGCCGTCGATCCGTGAGTGACATCAGTAGGAGAAGGAACGAAAGAGGAGGTTACAGAGGGAGAGAGAGGGTTAGCGCTCAGTGCTGGGGAGACGTTCCTACTCATCGCCTGACAGATGAGTCTGTACGCTTGCACCTTCAGGCANGTTACAGAGGGAGAGAGAGGGTTAGCGCTCAGTGCTGGGGAGACGTTCCTACTCATCGCCTGACAGATGAGTCTGTACGCTTGCACCTTCAGGCAACCAATTGGAAGTTAGTACCTCGAGCCGTCCTCGCGAGCTTGGTATAGTCTGAAAAAGCAAGAAGACACCAGTACATCGAGAGGACGCATGATCCGGGTGAGAGTGTTAGCGCTGATTGATGTCAACAATCGCCCTTGCTCCAGCGTGATGTTCTTGCTGCTAGCAAAGCTAGCATACGTGCCTCCTCAACCATGATGTCACAGAATGCAATGGGTGACGAGTTCACCCGGATGAGACCTGATGCGTTTTAGTGGTTGTGGGAGAGGATCTCCATCGCGCGTGTATGTACGGGGTCTGAGCTGGTCGAAGGGGGAGCGTTTAGTTATTTGTTTTCAAGCTTTTGCAAGAGTGATCCGACTCATCCCCCCCCCTTCGCAATCAACTAGTGACTATTAGTCGTTGGGCGTCAATTGGCTATGGTGAGAAGTCAACGGGAAGGAAGTTTTAGCGGTGTGAGTTAAGAAGGGAGCCTAGGCAGTACAGTTGTCATCAGAGGCAGTTTTTGCGTTTCATGGATGGTACACAAACGAACCGGCAATCTTCAGCATTGTCTTGAAAGCAGGGTCACGAGTAAATCGTGTGCGTGTTACCATCGCCATAGCATGTTGTGGGATAGAGCATCTAAGTAGAGAGAAAAGGTGATCAACGTGGGAAGGCTTATATACACGTCTGGTTTGAGGCTGTTATTGTCACCTGGCCTATTTCAAGTTACCCTTCTCGCTGGGACTACGGTGTTGGGATACTGCTCTGACCTCCGTCACTGGCTCAGAGAATCACAGCAAGTAGAGGCGAGGATAAAACAACATGAATGATCGAGCGACCCTCGGGAGGTGATTTAATTTTGAGGAGTGATTGGAACTAGTCTTCCAGTTCAAAGTCACTTCACTTCATCTCCAACCAGGCAGACCTGCTATGATCAAATGAGTATCTGTTTCTGCTAGACTTCATGTTGTCCGGGTCGCACTAACGGACGGGTTCTTGAGATAGTAATGGAGAGGTGATTCTCAGTTAACATCAACGCCATTCGTGCATATGCGTTGGCTATGAGGTAGTTGTTGACTAGCCAGAGAGCCATGAAAACTTGAGGCACTAGGACGTTCTTGTCTGAACGGGCGCTACTGATCAGACCACAAATACGTTGGCAGGAGTTCTGAGCTAAGTAATAATTAACGATATAAAAGTTCTTGCCTCTGAAAACGCTTGTCTCTTGTCAAGACTCGACAAGGTAATGAAATCCCATCTTTATAACTGAGTATGACCGGAAAGTACCAATTGTTTCGTAAGTTACGAGCTTGTTATTAATCGAACCAGCAGCTTGTGAGTAGCTCTCGAGGGTGATTGTCGTCAGTAAATCGAGTAAACTCATGGTTGGAAATGCAGGGATCGTCACTTAGGCTTCACGCTAGAAGTCAGTTGATAAGAAAATGACTAAGTGACGAGAGAACTCGTCTTGCATGCTTCAGTCGTGTGATCCGAAATCTGGCTAAGGATGGGGATGAGGGTTTCTAGTATGAGTTGCGATATAACACAAAAGAGTAAGAGAAAGGTAACAGGTCAGGGCCAAGGAACACAACGAGTGGAGTTTAAACCTGTGTGATAATTTTTTCTGGTCTCTCTTGTGATTTCGGTGATAAGTCAAAATTCGACTCTCAAGTTGTGCGTGGAAATTGGACAAGGACTAAAGACCTTAATGTCACTAAGAGTCTTAATCTATGTTTATTACCTTGCATACAGCCGTAAGAGCGCTCGACTACAAGAGTCTGTATGTCCTCTTGTTATCGAATGCGTTTACGGTTGGACGAACTTACATGCTCTTTCACGATTGAGTTGCGGACTCATTGGAACTAAAATGAACGGATGAGCATTTAGACAAATACACCTACGATTACCTGAAAAGGGGAAGCACAACAACGACCGATCAGAGCAAGTTAGTGTGATGAGGATGGTCTGCTAATCGATGCTGACTGTCTCTGACTTATTGGATCGGCTTGATGGACAGAAGGCAACGGATCCTAAAGAAAGTAATTTATTTATTGGCTAAGTTTCTCCTGGATGGAGACTGAGATTGCGCTCTGTCTTTACCCAGGGTAATCTTTCCACTCGCTTGGTAAAATCAGGTAGAAAGTGAGGTACGGCCAAAGGCATCAGTGAGTTTTTCTTAAGTTGGGCAAAATTCTTAGTTTGTTCTCGCCTTCCCAATCGCCGCTCATTAGTATCATGGAAAGAGAATGAGCTGCCTTCCGTGAATCTCAATGGTAAGTTATATTCACTCGAGTCAGTTTCGGTCGTTCGCTCTGAAGGACAGAGCACTACCGTGAGCGAGGGCATTCTGAGAACTTTACTACATTTAGACGAAAACCAGACCTATGTTCTGTGGCTACGTTTAGCCGTCGCTCCGAGGATTTGCGAGAGCCTGAACAATCTAGCTCCTGCTGTTGTAGTGTTCTTTTCCTGAGTAAGTGCCCAACTGTGGCTTGTTGGACTGGAGTCTAGCGTCCACTGAGACTGCGTGGCAGTTTGTTCCTGCTGTCCCACATGCTTCAATACGTCCCCTGCTCACCTCTATCTAAGAGAACAGACTACTCATTGTGAGTTATCCTAACGATACTCCTCTCGGCCAGGAGTTACTCGAATCAGCCACTAACGAACCGGCGGTTGAGAACCTTTTTAACAGCTATCAGTCTCAAAAGAGAGATACATGCGTCAAGCAAGACAGACTAAATCAGACAATCAGTTCAAGGTTCTATTTATTTATTTAGACACTTATGCATTTTATTCAACTACAGTCGATGCAAGCACAAAACTGATGCAACAAACCAAACCAGCAACGAACTGTAATCACTCGGTGCTCAGGTTACAGTCATTTGATGCTCAACCGTTGAAGCCAGACAACGCGGCGAGACACGAATAAACAGCAAACTGTTGCGGCACATGGCAATCAATCGGTAACCTTCCATATGTTTTCATCAGAACTTGACCACCCCTGAATGGTGATTTGATTTCAGTCTGATTAGTACCTAAACCGTGGTAGAACGAGCAGAGATCCGTCAGCGAAACACTGCAGATAAAACGGTGAATAAGCAGCGGTCTGGCAACCCTCAAAACCGGCCAATCGACACACGAGCTACTTTTATATCCGTAGCCCTCTACCAGAACTTGGGGTTCACTGCTTGGGATCTGATTGAGACAAAAGGGAAAGCATGAAGGATAACGAGATCCTAGTGGTGAAAAGCACTTTAATCAGAGAAAAGAGAGAGGGGTGGGAGGAAGAGGCCTTCAAAGACATGGAAGACAACATGCAAGTGCAGAGGGAGTATGAAGTGGGAATTGCCAGAGAAAAGAAGTACATTGAGTATGTAGTTTATTTCTACGGGCCTGGGAACAAGCTACATGGCACCGGTTCTATGCTAGAGAGCGTGGGAAGGGCCAGGGCGAAGCTCGGGTGAGCTTAGCAGTACCTGAAGCTTACCACTCTCGAGTTTTCACAGTACTCAGTTCTCAGCAATCGGTTCTCAGTATTCAGTTCTTATGTTCAACTCCAAACAATCAATTTAGTAGGCAAATCAGCAATCAGATCAGTCACCAGCGAAACAGCAATCCGAACGACAATCATCAGATCAATAGTCGGATCAGCAAGCGTTCAGTTTCCTGATCATCATCAAGATGCAGCACTCAGAAAACAACGGCTAGTTATCAGCAATCAACTCTCAGCAGTTCAGCAATCAACTCAATAGCTTTTCATACCTAGATCATCCAAGAGTCACCCGTTTCGAGTTGGTGATCCGATGTAGTGAGGATTTAGTGAGAATATGGGCAGCACCAACACAGTTAAAGTCTCCTGCTCGCTGTATCAGAGTGCTGAAGAGACTTGGAGGGAAAGTGCAGTTGAGGAGTACAACTAGCAGACTATTTTGATGATGGGACGTGCACTGACCCTCGTGAGAAACCATACTAAAATTGAGTACACATACTTTCTGCACGGCAAGGATGGGAGACTATGTGCTATCATGACTTCTGAGGGTACTGTTGAGTAGGCAAGGGGGACTATTGACAACCATCAGTGAACGTTCTGTCTCCGAACAAGAACAACTCACTTATCAGGACAACCTGCAATCATCTAATTCGCAGTCAATCATTAGCAATCAGTTATTATTGGTAATCAACTTTCAGCAATCAGTTTCCCGCAATCAGTTTGGTGACCTGTTCTCCGGGACCATCTGATTAGCTTGTACTGACAAGAATACTCATGAGCACAGTTCAGTCTACACCGGTCAGTGAGTCAGTGCTGGCCAGCCTCAATTGGTTCTCATGCAAGGAGGCATTCCGTTATCAGTATGTTAGTGTCATTGGTTTCAGACAGGGAGATCTGTCAATCTTCATTGTCCAGACCAGTTTTGTTGATGGCACTATCCATGATCTGAGGCCTTATCTGAAGAAGGGCAAGGAGGCTCATGAACTTTTCGATCCAGTCTGGATCTCAGCCACCGAATACCTTGAGCAGAGAGAGAGGGAGCTCGATGAGAGTGGCACTACGTTGATCCGCAGCTTCGGGCCGATGCTTTATACTGACTATCCTAGGCCTCCAGTCCCTTCTCTTCTCAAAGATGGCACGAGTTGGCTGGATGTGATTGGTTTGGCAAAGAGGTACATCTCTCCGGCAGTGGTCGACATTGAGGCACTGACCGAGCCCACCGAGTATCCCTACCTCAGACGAGGGGGCTTTTCAGTGGACGGACTGCCTACTTTGTGGGAGGAGTTTTGCTCCATGGTTAACTACTGTGTCATGTGCCTTGGATGGTCATGCTCAGAGCTTGCTGGCTACAGGTGGCATTTTGTCACAAAGCCTCAGTCTCAGATTGTACGTGGGCGTGGGTCACGGCACCGGAGAAGATCAATGAAAAGGAAGATTGAGAGAGACTGACCAGAGGGATGAGTGAGGACTCTTGAGAGGTGCTGACCATGCTCGTTTATGTGTACTTTCTGAGATTATTACGAGTTCTCATTCTTCCCTCACTCAATTGCTCATGTCTTTGCTCGAGTCAGTCAGTCTTATTTTCTGCATTATTCTTGCTTGATGATTGCCTTCGTGGATGTTTCGTCACAGTTCTCAAGATCAGATTGACATAATTGATGCATGCACAACACCCCATAATTTTATGATTATTATTTGCCTAATTCTTTGCTGTTCCAAATCAAAATAAAAGATTCCTAAGACCGGGGGCCGGCGAAGACCATAATTGAAGGGTCTCGCTCGCAGCCGGACGCATACAACAGGAAGGAATTTGCATTATTTAATTTATTTTATTTATTGCAATCACATACAAAATCCTACGTGACAGCCTGTTGGCTTTCCGGTCGCCCAGAGCGGCCCGCCTGGAAAAAGTGCGACAATGCGACAAGCCGCCAAAATCACGCGGTATGTTAACCGTTTTCTCGGGATGCACCATGATACGGAAGAAATCGTGACCGATAACGGGGCAGAATTCAGAGGGGAAGTATTAAGGAACCTGGTCATGCACGGTGTTGCTGTGCGGAACACCGCGCCTCATATGTCACAATCCAATGGGCTGGTAGAAAACGCCAACAGGGTGATAAAGACAGCACTGCGACAAAAAATCACGGCACGGGATCCGAGGCCCTGGCCTGATATCGTCGACCACATCCTAGCGGTCCATCGTGGAACGCCTCACGAATTGACGGGCCTGAGCCCCTTCCAATTAAGGACTAATAGTGTCGCTTGCGTTTTGATACCAAGCCTCCCCGACGAATCAACGCTTAACCACCGACTTACAAGGGCCACATCGCGAGACAAGGCCAAGCGGCACCCGGAGTTAATGGAACGGTTCGTCCCCAGACTAGCCCGAAAACGCCAAAAAATGACCGAGTTGGCCCATGGCCGACAGGTCCGGAGCTACGAGGCCCGGAACGGGAAAGCAGGTCCACGGCCCCAGTACAAATTGGGGGCATTGTGCAGGTAAGGAAATGTGCTCGCCAGGGTAAGGTAGCGCCACGATTCTTCGGGCGATTTCCCGTGATTGAGCTCGGACCGAACGGCGTGAACACCGTGCGGCTTGCGCCTGAGGTCTCCGGCAGCAGATCGGCTCGTTCGATCATTCGCCACGTGTCCTACCTTCGTCCCCTCCCTCCTTCCCCATCTTCGCATTTATCCGATTCCTCCTCCGCTGCGGAAGAAAACAACGACTGTTTATCGCTTGTCTCTCCGTCTCCTTCTCGTTCTCTCTCTATCACTTCATGGCCATCGCCATGAGTTTTCTTACGGAGCGAGCTCTCGACAGTTCTCTGCTGGTGCCACGGTGTCACATCTCGGCGATTCGACAAGTTCATCATCCACGGCTCAATCCAGATCTTCGGCGACTTGCGCAGTTCTTCTGTACCGAGGGAGTGTACGTGGCTGCTGAGTTTCGTTTTGCAGGAAGTCTCGGGCGGTTGTTTTAGCAGAGGCAATAGGAGTTCATCGGCGATCGGCGCCGGGAATCAGCCACGTGTCCACGGTGGTCGCCTTCAGTGGTGACATCAGCACCATCAACCCGTTGTGGCATAAAGTTATTACGACGACGCTCCGGCTGTGGGCACAACAGTTGGCGGCGGAGTGGAATCATTGGCTCACGCCCCACGGAGACAACCTTTTTCTCATAGACGACGTCGATTTCGACGGGATTCGAACTTTCCAGCACGAACCCGCGGTGGTGCTCCCGGAACTCGTCCCCTTCCCTCGTCCTCAATGAACCCATCCCCGATCTCCACTTTCGACCTCCCCTCCTTCTTTCCCATCTTCTGGCGGTCCGGAGTCCATCCGCATCTTTCCTTTCGACTGGAATCACTTGTTGTCCCCCTTCTCGATCCCTTCCAGTGGAGACGTTGGCGAGAGCACTTCGTTGAGTTATCGGTGTGTCTGGTTGGAGTACGGGTCACGTGGACGCAGCACGGAGATCACCGCCAGTGGGCCGAGTACCTCGAGCTGCTTATCATCCAGGCGTGGCGAACGAAAGTGGAAGGCAATCTGCTCGAATTCCTCTTCGGATCGGTGCGGCCCGATCTCCGCCAACCGATCGTACACAAGTTAACGGTCCCCCTTGCACAGCTGGCCGACGATCTCCCTCTTGAGATGGTCTCGCAGAGCGACGACAGCCCGGTCCGGCACGTTCTTACGCGGACCTTGGCGCCATATCTTCAGTGGTCGGCGTGCTTGGAGGAACCGGGGAGCCACCGCAAACCGCCATCACAGCGCGGTTACCTGAACCCGCACGAGATAGTCGATCTCGCCTTCTTCCAAGATTGGACGGATTCCGAGAACGAGGAGATAGAGATTGAAGCGGAAGAAGAAAGCTCGGAAGAAGACGAAGAGGTCAAAGAAGAGGCCGACGAGGAAAAAACTCCCGAAGAAGGGAGTTACAGTGAGCACAGCGCAGGGGAGCAAAGTGAGGAGGAGGAGGAGGAAGAACAAGACGACGACGAAGAAGAAGAAGAAGACCAGGGGGAAGTAGAGGAGTCGGAGTACGAAGGATTTGAGGAGGAAGTGCGTGACGAGGCTCGGGCCCAGGCCCAGGCACAGAAGAGGGGAAGAAATCGCGGCCGGGAAGAGACAGCTGGAATTCGCCAGCGCAGCCGGCCAGCCGCTCATCGACGATCCGGCCCGGGATCCAGAGCCGCCTAAGCCCGAGGATGGAGCGACCGCTGGCGAGACTTCTGCCGCACCAGCGAGACGGTGACGAAGCTGATCCCCCTCCCCCTCTGCCTCCGACCGCCCACCAACTCGTCCACGTACCGATGCGGGGCATCGGGCTTCGTCCCCGGTCGTTATCCCGCCGTCCCCTTGACCACCTCTCCTTTCGCCATATCTCTACTCGCGTCACCTTCCCCGCCAATCCCTTCCCCATCGATACCTTCCGCTTTTTCTACACCACTTGTCTCGTTGTCACTATTCATCCCCACCCTTCTACCCGATGTGCCCGCCCTGTCTTCTGCCTCCATATCCTCTTCCTTAGTGCCGCGTGGTGGGGCCACAATATGATCGAGGTGTATTGCATGATTAAGGGGACTATCCCCGCATGCGAGAACCACGATCACTTCCGCGCGGCCCTTTTCCGAACCTTTACCACCCTCTATCCCGACTACCTCGCATCTCTCCCCCACACTGGCAACCGATTCCCCCGCTTTCACCGGATTGTTCGCTATCAGGAACTTCCTTCCCCCGCTACCCATCAACCCTCCCCCTCGCCACCCCTCCATGTACCGTCTCCCCTTTCCCCTCCCCGGCGCTGGCTGATGCATAACTAGTGGGCACGTGTCATGACGGCGACATGTGTAATCCCCTCCTTGGTTTGTCAAAGGCCCTCCCTGAGGAATTAGTAGTAGAGCAGTGCTGCCACGTTGGACGACGTCCACACTCATTCAAACGGTAAGTGGCATAGAGAGAAGAGCTCCGCGTGACGATCGATTAGAGAAATCGACACGTGTCAACAAGCAAGCAGGAGCTTGCTAATATTGGA